TCAGTAAGATGGAAAAGGGTTAGAATTGCTCTGGGGAGATTTCCTATCATTTCCATTTTGACATGAGAGGAAGTGGGTGTAAGTCTCTGCAACAGGAGGGGAAACATCACTTTTGACAGTTGACTAGAAAAGCTATCCCAATTGAAATATTTCCCCTTTACTTCTGCTTTGGTGACAGGTGTAAAATGTTTGTTAGTTCCCAATACTCTTTCCCTGTGACAATGGATAGCAGGACAAGTAGACAGAGTGAATCTCCTCAGCAGGTATACCGATGAAGGTTCTAACCCGTAGACCAGCCTTTCCCAACCAGGATTCTGCAGAACCCTAGGGTTCCTCCAGAGGTTGCTAGAGGTTGCTAGAGGTTTCCTTGAGCAGACATATTTCTACCTTCCACTGAAAACAATGATCTGTTTTTAGCCATCTGTATGGGAGCATTTTCTCCTAAAGAAAATACATGTAAAGGACATTCTTCACAGTGACCATTACACTAATGTATCAGCTGCTGTAACTGTAGTAATTTTTAGCAGGGGTTCCCTGAGACTGGAAGGTTATTTAAAGGGTCCCTCAGAATTAAAATGGTTGAGAATGTCTGCCATAGAAACTAGATGATCACCCCAAACATCCAACTTTCTGGGTAATGAATAGCTTATTTTGGGGCACCTTCATGTTGCAGCAGAACCTGCTAAGTGGTCTTAGTGGGTGAAGCCCATTAGCCTGTTGTATGTTCACTATACTGATTACTCTTGTACCCTAAAATAAGAAAAATGTTTTAGAAGCAAGGTTATAACATTTACATCCAATGACTATTTCATCCAAATTAAAAGGTATGCGCTAATAACAAACTTATACAAAAGTGTATGTCATCATCCAAAAAACATTAGTGTTTTAAATAAATTATAGTGTCCAAACATAAATTAGTGTCCAAAAAAAATATATATCTTCAGTGACTTGAACGAATTGTGAGAAATCCACCACCAAAGGAGATTAAATGAACTCACCAGAGCTAATGGCTGGTCAGATAATAAACCAGCAACAGCGCTTGTGCTCTGGGAGCAATGAACCCGATGTCCAAATAGATATGGTGATGTTTCAGATACTTCCAGATAATAATCACAGCCAAACAACTTTGCAGCCCAAGCTCTTATGATGAACTTCTCCACTCTTTCTCATACCTCCATGAGAGCATACAGTACACTCAGGGACAAAAAAAGAGAACATAATGGTTCAATACGTTTTTTTCATTTATCTCTTTAATAAAAAAGGTATAAGGAAACTCACAAACAAGGTGTCCAACAGACACCAGCTTCAATCGCAAAAAAGGGTTGAGATACAGTTAACACTCACCTCAGATCTCTCCCATACAGCACAGACCAGCAAGGCTCTCTAACGTCCACATCAAGTAGGCTACGCCCAACCGGTTTTGTCACACCGACGTCATCAAGGGGCGGTACCGCCATATTTAATTACCAGAGCTTGGTGACAGATGGGCACTGTGCTCTGTTTATTAGGGGGACTAAGAGCTCCTGACACAGAGTGGTCAACTGTCACATTGACAGAGAAGCCGACTGCCATTGGTTGCACAGGGAAAGCTTCACTCTCCCAGTGTAATCTGCAGAACTGTGCTGTACGTTTGACAGCTCAGTCCTGCACAGTACAGGACCACATCTGGAAGATGTAGAGGCAGGAAAGGCTCTCGCACCAGCTGTGCCTCCTTCCCTAGAACAGCACCCAAGGCTGGTGCATCTTCTGCCTCAGTCTAGTTCTGATGGTGCCTTTTAGAGTTCTGTGGCTTTCTTGGCTTACTTTTGTCATGTGTGCACTCCTGGCAATCACAAGTAAGCCCAATGTGCAACACACGTCAGCAGTTCTGTAAGCAATAGAAAACATTCTGAATGAAGAACATAATGTGTGCGTGTCCTAGGGTAATGACACTGTGCCCCACAGACTTAAACGATAAGGACGTCTCAGGGTGCACTAAAACAGACAAGAACACTAGGTGTAAATTCAAGAAAAGTCTTCATTACAAAATTATGAACATGAAATGATTTCACAATTTACCATTTTACAATTTTTAATGGAACAGTTTGCTGGCAATCGCCGTGCTCCAGCGGGTTATCACCGGCTCGGACTCGATAATTGACACCCACAGCCATGATCGGTGCTGCGGGTAGGGCTTTGGGCTTAGAGTTTTGGTTATAGATCCTCTTTAAATTGTAGGCAAGCACTGACGGGGAGGAAGGCTGCAATGTTTTCAATGGAGCTCTCCTCCCTGTCAGTTTTCAGCACACTGTTCCAGATTGCTGAGCTGAGCTTTCTGGAACAGTGTATAACAGTGAAGAACACACCCCCTAGTAAAACACTCCCCTCACACAGTTAACCCTTTGATTGCCTTTTAATGTTAACCCCTTCCTCCCCAGTGCCATTAGTACAGTGTCAGTGTTTTTTTTGCACTGATCACTGTATTTGTGTCACTGGGGATGTCAGTGACCCCAAGTCAGTCCCCCCCCCCCCCGTGTCAGAATGTCCACCGCAGTCCCGCATAAGTCAATAATCGCCGCCATAAGTTGCTGATTGCCCCCATAAGTCACTAATCGCCACTATTAGTATGTATATATTAAAAAAATCCAGTATCTATACCGCCATTTGTAAATGCTATAACTTTAACGTAAACCAATTAATTTACACATATTGGAATATTTTTTAAGACAAGTCGCAGAATACATTTTGGCCTACATTTATGATGAAATTTGATTTTTTTTATTTTTTTACTGGACATGTTTTATAGTAAAAAGTCCAAAATATTGTTTTTTTTTTCTCAAAATTGTTGGTCTTTTTTTTTTTATAGCGCAAAATAAAAACAAACGCACAGGTGATCAAATACCACTGAAAGAAAGCCCAATTCGTAGGAAAAAAAAGGACGTAAATTTTATTTTGGTGCAGTGTTGCATGACTGTGCAATTGTCAGTTAAAGAAACACAACGCGATAACACAAACCACTTCTATAACAGCTTCCTGACCGCCCTATAGCAGAAATACTGCTACAGGGTGGCACGGGTGCACAAAATAACATATATATATATATACATGATTCAAGCTCCCGTGGTTTTCACGCCCCTCCTAGATAGCGTCAGCTTGCCTGTCAGTACACCAGTCATCACATTTAACCCCTTGATTGCCAGGAACACGCTCATACACAATAAACCTCCATTGCTAGTATAGTGTCTGAACGGATCAATGTCTTTGATCAGCACTATACCCGCATTCACATTAGTATAGCATCCCCAAAAACGCAGCGTTAGCAGGATCAGCCCAGCACCTGCGTTTAGCCCCTACGCTTACCCCCCACCCCTTCTCCCCCAGCAAGTGCAGTGTCAGTAGGTCACTGTCACTTGATACATTGCACACAAAACTGCAGTGTTCGCAGAATCAGGCCTGATCTCTGTTAGTACTTGCCGGTAAATTTTGATGACTCTCATGCAGCAGAGTGCCAGTACTAGTGCCGCTCTACCTTTTGGTGAACTGGTGAGCACCAGCAGCCTAGTACATCTTGGTCTTTACATACCAGCACTGCAGTATCACTTGGTGACGTGGCGAGTCCCATATGTGCAGTCTTGTACTGGTACGTACTGGTAAGTACTGGTGCGGTGGCGAGCACAAGTATTGTCCCTCAACCACCAAGAATTCGCACACAGGCCCATAGAGCCCCTAGTATCCTTCCAGATATGCATTCAAATCCCAATTGGCAGCCCACAAATTCTGCAGCACCCATACTTCCCCCATTCACTGCCCAACCCGGAATTCAGGTGGAAACAGCAAATTTAACTACTCCCCTTGATTTTTTGGAGCTGTTTTTCACGGAAGAACTGTATGCGTTGATTGTGGATCAAAGCTATTTATATGCACAACAGTTTATCGCCACCAACCCAAATTCAATCCTTGCCAGGCCTTTTGCATGGAAACCCATTACGGTTTCTGAATTTAAATTTTTTTTGGACCTAACCCTCAACATGGGCATTACTAAAAAAAAATGAATTGCGGTTGTATTGGTACACAAACCCGATTCATCATATGCCGTGTTCTCTGCTGCCATGGCCAGGCATAGATATGAGAGTATAATGTGTTTTATGCATTTCAAGGACAATACACTCTGTCATCCTTGGGGTGACCCTGAATTTGACCGGCTCCACAAAATTCAGCCCCTCATAAATCACCTTAACCAAAACTTTGCAGATGTCTATACTCCCCAGCAAAAAATCTGCCTTGATGAGTCCCTCATTCATTTTTCTGGCTGCCTTGCATTCAATCAATTTCTCCCCTGCAAGCATGCCAGATATGGGGTCAAGATGTATAAGACCTGTGAAAGGGCAACAGGCTATACATATACGTTTCGAATTTACGAGGGAAAAGATAGTCACGTGGAGCCCCCCGGATGCCCAGACTACATGGGGAGAAGTGTCAAGATAGTTTGGGACTTGGTGTCATCCTTTTTCCATATGGGGTACCACTTATACGTGGACATTTTTTATTCAAGCGTGCCACTATTTAGACATTTGTACAATCTTGGAACTGGTGCATGTGGCACCGTGTCACCTAATGTGTGCCCACCATTAGAAGTGGGTGGATGCAGGGCGGTATATTCTAATGGTGGACATACCACACACTTTTTCTGGCAGAGATTTCTTTTTTTTTCATTCATCCCACAGGCTGCATACAGCAAAAAAAAAAAGAACATAGCATATATACCTAACAAGGACCAGCGAAGTACTGGTACATCACTGGACTTTGAATGGTTATACCAGGATGATGCCTGCAACTGCAGGCATCATCCTGGTATCGTTTTTTTCAGCTGGCGATTAGATTTTATATAAAAGCAATCCTAATGGCTAATTAGCTGCAGGATTGCTTTAACAAGCAGCGGGAGATGATCCCCCCACTCCCCTGCTGCCTTCCGCGGCCTTCTCAGGCAGTCCCGTGCCATCGGGGAACCTGAGAATGCAGCCGGTATTTCTGTCAGCTGACCATAGAGCTTATTGGAGACCAGAATGGTGCCAATCATCTCTATAGCCTAAGAAAGCTACAATCCAGGGGCGGACTGACTATTTGGAAACTTGGGCACTGCCCGAGGGCCCTGGGTCAGTAGGGGGCCCCATGAGATGCCCCTGGTACCTTTTTCATAGGCCTTTTTTGGGTTTGGGCAAGGACACGGGCCCCATGATCCCCTATTGCCCGGGGGCCCCATGAGTTGTCAGTCCGCCCCTGCTACGAGCATTTCATCACTTCACTTTTGCAGGATATAAACAGCGCCATTTGTAAATTGGGAATGCATCTGATCACACCGATCTTAGTTTGATTATATAATGTAAGGGCAGAGGAGATATCTAGAATCTAATAGACCCCAGATTTCTCAAATAAGAATATATGACCATCCCCATTTAAGTTATAGGGGATATTTGCATTCCCTGTGATAGCGTTAAAAGTGATCAAAAAAAAATGTAAAGGGACAGTGCAAAAATAATGTAAAAATAACTTAAAAAAAGCATGTGAGGTATCGCCGTGAACATCAGATCAAGGGCAGTAATTCTAACACTAGACCTCCTCTGTAAATATAAAATGGTAGCTTGTAAAGGCTTTTAAAACGTTGCCTATGGATATGAAAAACTTATGCAGTTTGTTGCCATTGCACGGGGCAAGCGCAGTTTTAAAGCATGTCATGTTTGGTATCTATTTACTCAGTATACCATCATCTTTTATATCTTACCAAATAATTTGCCAATATATTGTGTTTTTGAGCATTAAAAGTAAAAAAAGTGTATTTTTTTTTAAAAACAATTGCGTTTGAAAAATCGCTGCGCGAATGCTATGTGACATAAAGAATTGCAGCACCCACTATTTTATTCACTAGGGTGTCTGCTTTAAAACAATATATAATGTTTGGGGGTTTAAACTAATTTCCTAGCAAAAAATACTGATTTTTTTCATCTGAACAAAAAGTGTCAGAAAATACGTCTTCAGTTAATTTGAAGAGTGAGTGATGTGTGGCATAAACCTCTAATTCTGGGCATAAAATGCCTCCACCCTCCAAAACGACCCATTTTTGGAAAGTAGACACCCAAAACTATTTGCTGAGAGGCATGTTGAATCAATAAAAGAATTTTATTTTTTTATCACAAGTTTTTGGAAAATGACAAAAAAATATATATTTTGTTTACACAAAATTGTCACTTAAATGATTTTTTGCTCACACATGCCATGGGTATATCTGGAATTACTCACCAAAATACATTCTGCTACTTCTCCCGAGTATGGGGGTACCATATGTGAGAGACATTTTGGCAGTCTAGCCAAGTACAGGACCCCAAAATCCAATAAGCACATTCAGGCTTTTAAAGGGCTTTTTTTCCTCATTACACTTCCAGACTACCTATCACAGTTTCAGAGGCCATGTACTGCCAGGATAGCACCAAACCTCCCAAAATGACCACTTTTTGAAAAGTAGAGACCCCAAGGAATTTGATAAGAAGCATGTTGAGTATTTTGCAGATCTGTTTGTTGCCACAAGTTTTGGAAAATTAATTTAAAAAAAAAAAAACATTTTTTCTTTTCTTTTTTTATATTTCAAAACCTTGTGAGAAATAATGAGATCTGCAAAATACTCACCAGCCTCTTTTTAAATTCCTTGGGGTGTCTACTTTCCAAAAAGGGGTCATTTTGGGGGGTTTGGTGCTATCCTGGCATTTCAGGGCCTAAGAAACTGTGATAGGTAGTGAGGAAGTGAAATGAGGAAGTTACACACCTTCAGGCTTTCAAAGTGGTCATTGGATTTCAGGCTCCTGCATGTGGCTAGGCTCCCAAAAAGTCTCACACATGTGGTATCCACATACTCATTAGAAATATAACCCCAAGTGTGGCCCATAGAGAGCTCCCCCAGGTGTTGGAGAGGTTGTGAAAAAAGGTTAGCATGGAGCATATATGGTGGAGTTGCCCGAAAGTGAAGTGTTACTGGAGGGAAATAGCACACTATATATCTAAGATTTATGTGGGGCAGATATTCAAGGAGACCTGTGGAAATGTTTATTCTATTATTTTGAACCTGCTTCGGAACTACGAAAAAATAAAGCCTGGTGTCATTTGATAAGTGCAGCAAAGGGTATAATTCCCAAATACTGGCAGGCGAAGGAGGCCCCAAAAATTGTAGATAGGATAAAGTGGAGGGTATTGTTCGAATGGAGGAATTGAGATGTATAGAGTAGGATAAAATGGAGATGTTTAGGAGAACGTGGAGTAGTTGCATGATATTCAAGACCTCGGAAACGTATATTGAATTAACCAGAGCAAAGGGGATATTATAGAAGACTTGGTAGTCTTAAAGAAGTTATAATGGCCTAAAAAGGGAATAATCCTAGATACAGATAGATATTACAGTAGAAGGGGAGTGGAGGGGGGTAGTAGTGGGGAGAATGGGGGGTGGGGTAGGGGTGGGTGAGGGCTATACAATAGATATAATAGGAAAAGTATTCTTATGAGGGGTAATGTGTTTTTTTTTATATTTGTATAATGAGTAAAAAAAAATAAAAGTTTAAATTAAAAAAAAAAAAGCAGCAGAATTAATTTTGGGGTGTAATTCCACATATACCCATGGCTTGTGCGAGAAATATATCATTTAAATGACAACTTTGTGTAAAAAAAAAAATGTTTTGTCGTTTTTCAGAAACTTGTGGAAAAAAAATAAATCTTCCATGGACTCAATATGCCTCTCAACAGATAGCTTAGGGCAGGGGTCCTCAAACGTTTTAAACAGGGAGCCAGTTCACTGTACCTCAGACCGTTGGAGGGCCGGACTATAGTTTAAAAAAAAAAAACCTATGGTCATCTCCTGTACTGTGTCCACATTTGTTCAGAGACTGCGGACATACAACGGCGGCGGGAATACTGGGCCGGCCACTCTATAAGACGCACAGACATTTCCCCCCAAGTGTGTCTTATGGAGCAAAATAGTGTCCCATCATTGGTGTCAGTGGAAGGAATAGTGTCCCATCATTGGTATCAGTGGGAGGAATAGTGCCCCATCGTTGGTGTCAGTGCCCCATCATTAGTATCAGGAAATAGTGCCCCATCATTGTGTCAGTGGGAGGAATAGTGGAGAAATAGTGCCCCATCATTGGTGTCAGTGGGAGGAATAGTGCCCCATCATTGGTGTCAGTAGGAGGAATAGTGCCCCATCATTGGTGTCAGTAGGAGGAATAGTGCCCCATCATTGGTGTCAGGAATAGTGGGAGGATTAGTGCCTCATCATTGGTGTCAGTGGGAGGAATAGTGCCTCATCATTGGTATCAGTGGGAGGAATTGTGCCCCATCATTGGTGTCATGGGGAGGAATAGTGCCCCATCATTGGTATCAGTGGGAGGAATTGTGCCCCATCATTGGTGTCATGGGGAGGAATAGTGCCCCATCATTGGTGTCAGTGTGAGGAATGGTGTCCCATCACTGGTGTCAGTGGGAGAAATAGTACGTCATTCGTGCCAGTGGGGGGGGGGGAATAGTGCCCCATCGTTGGTGTCAGTGGGGGGGTGGAATAGTGCCCCATCGTTGGTGTCAGTGGGGGGGGGGTAATAGTGCCCAATCGTTGGTGTCAGTGGGGGGGTAATAGTGCCCCATCATTGGTGTCAGTGGGGGGAGGAATAGTGCCCCATCGTTGGTGTCAGTGGGGGGAGGAATAGTGCCCCATCAGTGTTAGTGACACCAATGATGGGGCACTATTCCTCCCACTGACAGCAATGACACTTAACTAGCTGACGCCTGTTCCAGCATGGCGCTGCTGCAACCAGCATACCTGGTTGCAGCAGTACCATTTGCACGGCACACTTACCGAGCGGTCAGCTGTCCTCCTTCCTTCACTCCGGCCTCTCCCTCCCTTGATTTTCACGGGGCCGCTCGGCTCTGCCTCCTCGCCGGTGATTGGCCGCCTGTGTGCCTTTCCTGAGCTACAGTACTGGCGCCCAATCACCATGGAGGAGGCGGAGCCGAGCGGCAGCACGGACATTGAGTGAGGGAGCGGCCGGAGTGAAGGAGCAGCGCATCCTGGACTGGATCGTCGTGGGACTGGGACTGGAGCCAGGTAAGAGACAGCAGCCCCCTGCCCACCCCTGAACTTGGTGTCCCCTGCCGGCGGGCCGGATGAGTGTGCTCGGCGGGCCGCATGTGGCCCGCGGGCCGTAGTTTGAGGACCCCTGGCTTAGGGTGTCTACTTTCCAAAAAGGGGTCATTTGGAGGTGTTTGTACTATCCTGGTATTTTAGCACCTCATGAAATGTGATGGGTAGTCAGAAAGTAGAAGCTGTGTAAATTCCATTATCTATACCATAGTTTGTAGACGCTATAACTTTAACACAAAGAAATCAATATACACTTATTGGGATTTTTTTTTAACCAAAAAACATGTAGCAGAATACATTTTGGCTTAAATTTATAACTAATTTTGAGTTTCGGTTATAAAAAATATATAGTAAAGTAAAAAAAATATCATTTTTCTTCAAAATTTTTGGTCTTTTTTTGTTTATAGCGCGAAAAATATCTATTTGTGTGAAAAAGGGGACGTAAATTTTGTTTGGGTGCAGCATTGCATGATCGTGCAATTATCAGTTGAATTAGTGCAGCACCGAGTAGCAAAAAGAGGCCTGGTCATTAATGGGGGTAAATCATCTACAGGGCAAGTGGTTTTATGGTTTCAATAACATCTCCCCTTTCCCTTCTTTCCTCCAGACTGTGCATATTAAGTTCCTAAAGTCTCTCTTGATATGTTTTATCCTTCTCTGGACTCATTCTATCTTATCAATATCTTTTGTAAGTGAGGTCTCCAGAACTGGACACAGTATTCTAAATTAGGTCTCACTAAAGATCTATATAGGGGAATCAGGAGCTCCATCCTCCTACTAGAATTCTATTTGCTTTTCCCACTGCCTGGCAACACTGTTTATATGGAACAAGCACAAAAAGAAAAAAAAATGCCTTGCAGGTTTTAACCATCCATAGACTATCCACAAGGTTTGAGTATAAATACACTTTAATG